TGCAGTAGTTGTGGTAACAACAGTGGGTTGTGATGTTACAACTGTAGTTTCAGGACTTTCTGTTGTAACAACTGGTGACGTTGTTGTTTTTTCAACAACAGCTGTGGTAGAGGTTGTAACTGGGCCAGTGGTGACTTCTTTAGGTGGTTTAGTTGTTGCAACCTTTACTGTTGTTCCTGCTGATGTTGTTGTTTCTGCAGGTTTGGCTGTGGTTCCCTCAGTTTCTGTTACAGGAAGTGCAGTAGTTGTGGTAACAACAGAGGGTTGTGATGTTACAACTGTAGTTTCAGGACTTTCTGTTGTAACACCTGGCGAAGTTGTTGTAGTCTCAACAACAGCTGTGGTAGAGGTTGTAACTGGGCCAGTGGTGACTTCTTTAGGTGGTTTAGTTGTTGCAACCTTTACTGTTGTTCCTGCTGATGTTGTTGTTTCTGCAGGTTTGGCTGTGGTTCCCTCAGTTTCTGTTACAGGAAGTGCAGTAGTTGTGGTAACAACAGAGGGTTGTGATGTTACAACCGTTGTTTCAGGACTTTCTGTTGTAACGCCTGGCGAAGTTGTTGTAGTCTCAACAACAGCTGTGGTAGAGGTTGTAACTGGGCCAGTGGTGACTTCTTTAGGTGGTTTAGTTGTTGCAACCTTTGCTGTTGTTCCTGCTGATGTTGTTTTTTCTGCAGGTTTGGCTGTGGTTCCCTCAGTTTCTGTTACAGGAAGTGCAGTAGTTGTGGTAACAACAGAGGGTTGTGATGTTACAACCGTTGTTTCAGGACTTTCTGTTGTAACGCCTGGCGAAGTTGTTGTAGTCTCAACAACAGCTGTGGTAGAGGTTGTAACTGGGCCAGTGGTGACTTCTTTAGGTGGTTTAGTTGTTGCAACCTTTACTGTTGCTCCTGCTGATGTTGTTGTTTCTGCAGGTTTGGCTGTGGTTCCCTCAGTTTCTGTTACAGGAAGTGCAGTAGTTGTGGTAACAACAGAGGGTTGTGATGTTACAACTGTAGTTTCAGGACTTTCTGTTGTTACAACTGGTGACGTTGTTGTTGTTTTTTCAACAACAGCTGTGGTAGAACTTGTAACTGGGCCAGTGGTGACTTCTTTGGGTGGTTTAGTTGTTGCAACCTTTACTGTTGTTCCTGCTGATGTTGTTGTTTCTGCAGGTTTGGCTGTGGTTCCCTCAGTTTCTGTTACAGGAAGTGCAGTAGTTGTGGTAACAACAGAGGGTTGTGATGTTACAACTGTAGTTTCAGGACTTTCTGTTGTAACACCTGGCGAAGTTGTTGTAGTCTCAACAACAGCTGTGGTAGAGGTTGTAACTGGGCCAGTGGTGACTTCTTTGGGTGGTTTAGTTGTTGCAACCTTTACTGTTGTTCCTGCTGATGTTGTTGTTTCTGCAGGTTTGGCTGTGGTTCCCTCAGTTTCTGTTACAGGAAGTGCAGTAGTTGTGGTAACAACAGAGGGTTGTGATGTTACAACTGTAGTTTCAGGACTTTCTGTTGTAACACCTGGCGAAGTTGTTGTAGTCTCAACAACAGCTGTGGTAGAGGTTGTAACTGGGCCAGTGGTGACTTCTTTAGGTGGTTTAGTTGTTGCAACCTTTACTGTTGTTCCTGCTGATGTTGTTGTTTCTGCAGGTTTGGCTGTGGTTCCCTCAGTTTCTGTTACAGGAAGTGCAGTAGTTGTGGTAACAACAGAGGGTTGTGATGTTACAACTGTAGTTTCAGGACTTTCTGTTGTAACACCCGGCGAAGTTGTTGTAGTCTCAACAACAGCTGTGGTAGAGGTTGTAACTGGGCCAGTGGTGACTTCTTTGGGTGGTTTAGTTGTTGCAACCTTTACTGTTGTTCCTGCTGATGTTGTTGTTTCTGCAGGTTTGGCTGTGGTTCCCTCAGTTTCTGTTACAGGAAGTGCAGTAGTTGTGGTAACAACAGAGGGTTGTGATGTTACAACCGTTGTTTCAGGACTTTCTGTTGTAACGCCTGGCGAAGTTGTTGTAGTCTCAACAACAGCTGTGGTAGAGGTTGTAACTGGGCCAGTGGTGACTTCTTTGGGTGGTTTAGTTGTTGCAACCTTTACTGTTGTTCCTGCTGATGTTGTTGTTTCTGCAGGTTTGGCTGTGGTTCCCTCAGTTTCTGTTACAGGAAGTGCAGTAGTTGTGGTAACAACAGTGGGTTGTGATGTTACAACTGTAGTTTCAGGACTTTCTGTTGTAACAACTGGTGCCGTTGTTGTTTTTTCAACAACAGCTGTGGTAGAACTTGTAACTGGGCCAGTGGTGACTTCTTTGGGTGGTTTAGTTGTTGCAACCTTTACTGTTGTTCCTGCTGATGTTGTTGTTTCTGCAGGTTTGGCTGTGGTTCCCTCAGTTTCTGTTACAGGAAGTGCAGTAGTTGTGGTAACAACAGAGGGTTGTGATGTTACAACCGTTGTTTCAGGACTTTCTGTTGTAACGCCTGGTGAAGTTGTTGTAGTCTCAACAACAGCTGTGGTAGAGGTTGTAACTGGGCCAGTGGTGACTTCTTTAGGTGGTTTAGTTGTTGCAACCTTTACTGTTGTTCCTGCTGATGTTGTTGTTTCTGCAGGTTTGGCTGTGGTTCCCTCAGTTTCTGTTACAGGAAGTGCAGTAGTTGTGGTAACAACAGAGGGTTGTGATGTTACAACCGTTGTTTCAGGACTTTCTGTTGTAACGCCTGGCGAAGTTGTTGTAGTCTCAACAACAGCTGTGGTAGTGGTTGTAACTGGGCCAGTGGTGACTTCTTTAGGTGGTTTAGTTGTTGCAACCTTTACTGTTGCTCCTGCTGATGTTGTTGTTTCTGCAGGTTTGGCTGTGGTTCCCTCAGTTTCTGTTACAGGAAGTGCAGTAGTTGTGGTAACAACAGAGGGTTGTGATGTTACAACTGTAGTTTCAGGACTTTCTGTTGTAACACCTGGCGAAGTTGTTGTAGTCTCAACAACAGCTGTGGTAGAGGTTGTAACTGGGCCAGTGGTGACTTCTTTGGGTGGTTTAGTTGTTGCAACCTTTACTGTTGTTCCTGCTGATGTTGTTGTTTCTGCAGGTTTGGCTGTGGTTCCCTCAGTTTCTGTTACAGGAAGTGCAGTAGTTGTGGTAACAACAGTGGGTTGTGATGTTACAACTGTAGTTTCAGGACTTTCTGTTGTAACACCTGGCGAAGTTGTTGTAGTCTCAACAACAGCTGTGGTAGAGGTTGTAACTGGGCCAGTGGTGACTTCTTTAGGTGGTTTAGTTGTTGCAACCTTTACTGTTGCTCCTGCTGATGTTGTTGTTTCTGCAGGTTTGGCTGTGGTTCCCTCAGTTTCTGTTACAGGAAGTGCAGTAGTTGTGGTAACAACAGAGGGTTGTGATGTTACAACTGTAGTTTCAGGACTTTCTGTTGTAACACCTGGCGAAGTTGTTGTAGTCTCAACAACAGCTGTGGTAGAGGTTGTAACTGGGCCAGTGGTGACTTCTTTGGGTGGTTTAGTTGTTGCAACCTTTACTGTTGTTCCTGCTGATGTTGTTGTTTCTGCAGGTTTGGCTGTGGTTCCCTCAGTTTCTGTTACAGGAAGTGCAGTAGTTGTGGTAACAACAGTGGGTTGTGATGTTACAACTGTAGTTTCAGGACTTTCTGTTGTAACACCTGGCGAAGTTGTTGTAGTCTCAACAACAGCTGTGGTAGAGGTTGTAACTGGGCCAGTGGTGACTTCTTTGGGTGGTTTAGTTGTTGCAACCTTTACTGTTGTTCCTGCTGATGTTGTTGTTTCTGCAGGTTTGGCTGTGGTTCCCTCAGTTTCTGTTACAGGAAGTGCAGTAGTTGTGGTAACAACAGTGGGTTGTGATTTTACAACTGTAGTTTCAGGACTTTCTGTTGTAACACCTGGCGAAGTTGTTGTAGTCTCAACAACAGCTGTGGTAGAGGTTGTAACTGGGCCAGTGGTGACTTCTTTGGGTGGTTTAGTTGTTGCAACCTTTACTGTTGTTCCTGCTGATGTTGTTGTTTCTGCAGGTTTTGCTGTGGTTCCCTCAGTTTCTGTTACAGGAAGTGCAGTAGTTGTGGTAACAACAGTGGGTTGTGATGTTACAACTGTAGTTTCAGGACTTTCTGTTGTAACACCTGGCGAAGTTGTTGTAGTCTCAACAACAGCTGTGGTAGAGGTTGTAACTGGGCCAGTGGTGACTTCTTTAGGTGGTTTAGTTGTTGCAACCTTTACTGTTGTTCCTGCTGATGTTGTTGTTTCTGCAGGTTTGGCTGTGGTTCCCTCAGTTTCTGTTACAGGAAGTGCAGTAGTTGTGGTAACAACAGAGGGTTGTGATGTTACAACCGTTGTTTCAGGACTTTCTGTTGTAACGCCTGGCGAAGTTGTTGTAGTCTCAACAACAGCTGTGGTAGAGGTTGCAACTGGGCCAGTGGTGACTTCTTTGGGTGGTTTAGTTGTTGCAACCTTTACTGTTGTTCCTGCTGATGTTGTTGTTTCTGCAGGTTTGGCTGTGGTTCCCTCAGTTTCTGTTACAGGAAGTGCAGTAGTTGTGGTAACAACAGAGGGTTGTGATGTTACAACTGTAGTTTCAGGACTTTCTGTTGTAACACCTGGCGAAGTTGTTGTAGTCTCAACAACAGCTGTGGTAGAGGTTGTAACTGGGCCAGTGGTGACTTCTTTAGGTGGTTTAGTTGTTGCAACCTTTACTGTTGTTCCTGCTGATGTTGTTGTTTCTGCAGGTTTGGCTGTGGTTCCCTCAGTTTCTGTTACAGGAAGTGCAGTAGTTGTGGTAACAACAGTGGGTTGTGATGTTACAACTGTAGTTTCAGGACTTTCTGTTGTAACACCTGACGTCGTAGGTTGAACAACAGCTGTGGTCAAAATTGTGACAGGAAAAACTGTGGTTCCTAGTGATCCAGTAGTGTAAACAGTTCTGGCCCCTGGAAGTGTCTGTGTTATTGGGCCAATAGAAGTTGTAGCTTCAGCCGTGGCTCCTGAAGTTATAGTTGTAGACTTTGTTGCCAATGTAGTACCTGTCTCCAATGTTGTTGCTTGTGATGTGGATACTTCTGCAGATGTGGTTCCCAATGTCGTGTTTGCTTGTAACGTAGTTGCAGCAACTGTGAGGAATTCAGACATTTTGTGAACATTGCAAAATGTGTATATTTTCAGAGAACATTATCAAAATGTACCTTTTATTAAAGTATTTATTTAATTTTTGTACCACATAATCAATGTTTATAACATACGTTTTCATGCTGCACATGTTTTTCTTACCTAAAGTGGTTTCTCCAACCGTGCTGAATGCAAAAGACGTAGTTTGAGGGCTTGGTGTAGTGGTAGTTACGCACGGGTACGTTATTCTTCTTACAGTCCCATTTGCCCCACACTCAGCTGTGATGCAGTTTCCCATCCCATCCGTGGTGTTGTAGATGGTGCTCCCATATTCATATGTTTTTCCATAAATGAGGCATGTACAAGCTGCAGTTTAAGAGTAACATGCTTTTAATTTTCTTATATAGTGTGTGTATTTGTATTCACATGAAATAATGCATAAATATTGTGTCAGGCTTGGGACAGTGTATATTTTCACTTACAGTTCACATTGTAGCTGCACCTTATTCCAGAAACTGTACAGGAGCTAAACATAGAAGATACATTTAGTCATACCAATAATCCTAAGTAGTTTGCATGCCATGAGCCACCACAAATATCACTTCATGTAAGCCCACCCCAAGATGTTAATAACAAGTAGGAGTTAACATATTTATTTTCGACAAACATTAGTTTTGAAAATCTGAAAACCCTGGTCTGCATGGCCTGATTTTGGTTTTGTGTGTGTGTGTGTGTGTGTGTGTGTGTGTGTGTGTGTGTGTGTGTGTGTGTGTGTGTGTGTGTGTGTGTGTGTGTGTGTGTGTGTGTGTGGTGTGTGTGTGTGTGTGTGTGTGTGTGTGTGTGTGTGCTAAACAAGTGTATCTGTTTCCTTTTCATACAGGGGCCCATAGCCAATAAGGTGCAGATCCCTGTACATTAAGAAGACTATGTGTCAGCCTTATATATACAATTGGACCCGCCAATTCGCCTTTTCAGTTCAACAAGACATCGCTTTCTACATTTTTTTAAGCATCTTCCTGGTCAGAGGAGCTTTAGCAATATCGACTCATTACAGAACTTTATCTGAATTAATGATCATTTTGATTTTAAGTCCTCTCATAGTCTCCTGTGCTGCAGTACCACTTTTTGCCTGAACCATTACTAATGGGTGCTGTTTTACTAAAAACACAGTTATCACTATGTGTTATTGAAATAATTGAGGGAATGTAGATATGCAGAAAAGTGTTTTAAATACAGATTTCTTCTTCCTTACGAATGGTTTAAACTTCAACTTTCAAGCTTTCACATCTAGGTCATACACATTTATCGGGCTTTGACTTGATTGAGACCAAATTTAAAATTGTATGTACAATAAATTCTCTGAATGAGACATACCAAGTATGACAGTTGGTCGATGGAACCTTATCTCCAATGCTGTAGTGGGTGCCTTTGTCATCATAGCAGCCACATTGACGCCAGGTGACACACTTCATGGTGTCTTCATCAAAGTAGGGCTGGGTTGGGGGACACTGTGGATAGCAGCCTGCAACACCATTATAACATTGATTAACATATGTAGAAATAGAAGTATTGCTTAATGGCACTATGAATGCAGCGGCATTCATATAGTGCTTAAACTCAAAACTCTTTACTAACACTGCCAAATGCAATTTGTTGAAAGGCTTGGTCTCAAATAATGACCGTGCACAGGGGCCTCATATATTGACATCACGTATGCTCGATGTAGAATATAGACTCAAAAGGTTGACACAGCTGATTAAAAACTGGAACACGCAGCAGGAAATACACTGAAATATATCTTTTGTGAATGAAGTACCAACTGTTTATGTACAAATATGTCTGACCTTCTGGGGAAGCAGCGCTCACAGCGTCCGCTATATGCTCTTTGTAATGTCCACACTGCGACCACCAAATAACATGATTTATAAGTCTCCACCTTCCAAACAAGAACCTCGATATTGCACAGTGGTAAAATTCAGCAGAAAAGTGCCCAATATTTCCAGTTAATTGTGAAAAAAAACAAACAGGGAAACTGCAGGTAGACGTGCATAAGCAGTTTTGGGGGTTTCAACCGTACGCAACTTTCTCCAGTAAATCCTACTCACAGTTTTACAAAATCTCTTTTATTTCTTAGAATAAAGGTCTACGTTTCAGTCAGTTGACCTGAGTTGTACTCAAAGCATGACCTTAACACCTTCCTCTAGTCAAGATGATGGCATGTTAAAATAGCTGTGGAAAGTACCTTCGAGGGCAGTGATGAGCGTGGAACAGTTTCCTGAAGGATTCCTACATGTCTTCATGCAGTCAGCTCCACAAGGCTTGTAATGCCACTCACATTCACCAGGGGAGTTATAATAGTCGCAGAAAACAGCTGCAAGAAACAAAATATGTACTTCATTGCTCTTGTTACATATGACAAACTTGTTTATTTTTTTAAAGACACTTTCTACAAATCCTCGAATGCTGTATCTCAGATTTTCCTGGTGTAATGGTGGCAAAACTTACGGCACAGCTTTGGAGTTCTCCATTTAACACAGGCCCCAGCTTCATTACAAGCTTTGGCATAAGCAGCCACAGCAGTGCAGAGACACTCACAGTCCCCACCAGAGTCACAAGCACAAGAGTCTCTCACGCAAGAATCAAAGTATGGACCAGGGTCAACCTTGAACACACAACAGTGTACTGTTTAGCAAAATAGTTTAGGAAAATGATAAAAGTAGGGCATAACAAAAAATGGCGTTCCATGCTTGTAGTAGTGGCAACTATGGCATCGGGAACAAAATAAGTAATCGTAATCAGTCCTAGATTGGGACACATTTACAAATATCGAATTTTCCAAATACCACAGCATCTGATTTGTATGAGTCTGATAACGTTGTTACCTTTGCATGGCAGCTCTGGAAGATGACACTGATGATGATGCTGCACTGTTTCTGGGACCAGGCTGCTCGATAGCGGTTCGAGGCACAGGGATCAGTGACGAGTTTGGCATTTGGGCAGTCGGATGAAACCTTCCAACTGTTTGCAAATTCTAGAACATCTGCAACTTTCTCCTGGGAGCGTGTGGTGAAGTCATTCTTGCTGTTACCGTCGTAGTTTCCACACAGACCACATACTTGACCCTAAAGGGGGAAGCACAATGACAGTATATATATAGCTATGATGGGACTGATACATAGTAAGGCAAATATTCTTCACCCAAGTGGAGGTATGGCATATTCATCTGATGCCTTGACCTTTCATAGAAACTGTACACTGACGTTCCAGAGGGCTAGTTTACACTAAACTATCTGGGGCATTGGAAACTATCTGGGAAAAGAGTTTGCACAAAAAAAGTACTTGGCAGGAGTTAATATAGATCAATCAAAACTCTTACAAATACCAGTCAGGAGAAGAAGGGAAACATGATTTTAATTGAAAAACGGCTTTAGCGCCATTCTTGCTAATCTTTCAATGAAAGAATACTTTCCAGTTGTGACATAATTTTCTACAGAACATTTCAGAGTATTGCTAATTCCCATGAGGAATGTACCTTTAGCTAATTTGAAGCTGAATTGATTGATTAAAACATCAAAATAGCTACTAAAGGTCCAGGCTTAAACACCTTTTATGGCCAATTTCTTTGCAGAAAACTAAATAATGCTGTCAGGTTTAAAACGACTAAATTCAGTCTTCTTTTATCTGTTAAGTCTCCGCCATCTACGGAGATAAAAGCTTTAAACAATGATAACCGGCTAGTCACTAACTTGATGAGAACAGTGACAAGGTTGCACCTATTAGCGAATGGGCTGTTCAATTAAGTTATATATAAAGATATATAAAGTGCCTTTAAAGCTCAATTTGGTTGCTGGGTTGGGTAATACATCTTGATATCAGCACCGTGTTATTTGACTCGCTGTTATTCAGCATGTCCACCAAAAATAAATAATATTGCGATATTTCAACCAACTATTGAGTAAATCTGAAACGTAACTGCCCGTATCAATATGAAAAATTAAGAAATAGAGGCATGATTATTATTTACCTGGAGCTGTGGGTTGAGTTTAATGAAAAGACTGGTCTTCTGGTCCCAAACAATCACAAGTCCTGGCTTGATGGTCACCACCTGGTAGATGCCCATCTTGTGTAACCGACCTTTACCATCTTTACCACCGCTGCCCTTTAGCACGCTGAACTTCTCATCTTTTAATTGGAATTCACTATCCTGTGGGCAAAATCAAATCATCATGGAGTTAAATAAGTGGGAACAGGTTAAGGTTTGATCAATTCATCTTTCTTCTCTAGTTTTAACATGATATGGTAAATCCCATTTAATTAAAGGGAACGTAAAATGCCTTCTTCTTCAGAAAGAAACCAATCCAAATAGACTGCATGCCAGTAGCAAGGACACATTTTCATTTGCAGTGACATTGAATGTGAATATACACACAGGCTGCACATGACCACAAGGTATTCTCTATAGTTAGGGCATTTGCATCAAGGCATTACGATAGGACAACAATCTATCATTTAAATGTCTATAATATACAGCTCTGTAAAAAATGAAGAGACCACTGCAAAACTATCAGTTTCTCTGTTTTTAAATATGTATAGGTAAGTTTTGAGTAAAAAAAAAGTTTTTATTTTATTTTATTCTGTAAACTACTTACAACATTTATCTGTGTTGGAATTCAGCAGACACTGGAATGTAATGGCTGCCATACATGTAGAGATTGAGATTAAAGAAACATTTGGAGTGGTTTCTTAATTTTTTCCAGAGCTGTATGTTGGTGTTAGAATGTGCCTCATGCCAACAACTTTGGGCAGAACATGTGCTCGGTGTACGTGTGTTGTGTTTACCCCCATGTAGATCTTGATGGCCTTGGAGCAGGTGGTTCCTGTGCTTCCACATGGAACATTTTCCGAGATAATTCTGAAGCTTCCGTTGCTCTGACCGCCGCCACAGTAGTCCTGAGTTAGGCATAGACACAGGATGTAATTACTGGAAACCAAGTTACAATGCTTAACCTTTTTGCATGAAATAAGACCCCATTAGAGATGATTGATGTGCAATTTTTCTATGTTACTATGTATACTTATTTGGCTTTATTTGTATTCTAGTAGTAACTATAAATGTGCTTTTCTTCTCTATATTAATAAGTTAGCTTATTCTTTATTTTTGCATGCCTTTTTTTCCTGCTATGCCACTCTTTACTGTAATAACGTAAATGTCCCCGCTGTGGGACAAATAAAGGATTTCTGATCCTGATTCGGAAGTTGTCCTCTTAAACCTGAGGGCCTCGCAGGAATCGATGCAGCATTTTATCCAGCCAAATCTGATTTGAATGATATCCGCCTGCCTTAGTGATCATAACGGACATAGTTTAAGTTACTGCTAATTCAGTAATCAGATCATGGTTATGATGGAAAAAGACAGATTATTGAAAGATATTTGACTGCACTGTAAACATTTAGTGTAACCATAGTAAGCACAGTTGAGACATTTTAAGGATTACAATTGTATTCACTGTTCCTCTTTCCATCTGCCACTTTACCTGTAGAAGTGTGTATTCACACTCTCCATTGAAGTCAAACCTCTTATCATCAAACGTGACGAAGTGCCCGTCACCATAGATACCACACACTGCATCACAGATATTGGTGGTACATGTGAACTTCCTTCCACTGCAGGAGCTGGGGAGACAAACACCAGAAACAAACTTTAATAAGTTAAACCTACCATAAAGAATCAATGCATCTTTAGGTTTTTCTATCGGGCTGTCAATGTTAACATCTTAATGTTTGCAACTGGAAAGCTTAATGTATTAAAAAAAAAAAATGCAAATAATATATAACATTACTAAGTTTGACCCAGAGTTGCCCCATAATACCAGAGCGGATGTTTACCATGGATCGCATAGCAGTGAAAAGAGAAAGTAAGTCATTGCTATCTTGCTGCACTGGTTTGGTTCAGGTGTAGTACTTGGTAAAGTCATAATAGACATTTACTAAAAGAATGATAAACATTTACTTGTATATATTGGATTATGTCTTGACTGATGTATTTTCTAAATATTTGTATTTTCATAAAAAGTTGTATTTCAAAGTGCTGTTACTTAATTTTGTTAATTTTACAAAAATAAAATACCATGGAAAATCATTGTGTGAGAGGATATACAGTGTAGTTTCAAGTTTCAAGCCTTTTATTGTCATTCGTACATAGCTACGGTGTAGTTATGTCGATGAAAATCTTAGGTCACAGGCTCCTCCAACAGTGCAACACAATAAAACAGATAAAATAGTGCAAGTAAATACAAATAAAAAAACAAATAAAATAGAATAGAAATAGTGCAATCAGAGTATATATACAAGTAATTGGAATATTATATATTAGATAAATAATTTGTAAGTTGTAAACAGGTAAATATTATGGAAGTTCTAGTTCAGGTGTTTAACAGTCTGGCCTATGGCAGCGGTTTTCAAAGTGTGAGGCGCGCCTCCCCTGGGGGGCGCCAGAGAGCTTCAGGGGAGGCGCAGCGTGAGAAAAAAAATAACGAGAAAAAGACAAGTAAAGTGACACTTGCACACTTTTGGCTGTCTGTGGAGACCGAGTTCCCCCACCTCACCAAAAAGGCTGTAAAAGTGCTCATTCCCTTCACCTCCACTACCTGTGTGAGTGCGGGTTTTCCGCATTGACTTGGATCAAAAGCAAGTGCCGGTCAAGGCTGCAGCCAGAGGATGATTTTTTCTTGAGGGGTGCAAGGAATAGTCCAAGTAGTGGGGGAGTTTTATACAATATGTTTAAAACATAAAGATAAAAAGGTTTTAAAAAGTTATTGTTTAATGTTTTAGGGAGGTGACGCTACTCAGCCAATCAAATCGGTGCAGTCAGTGAGTCAGCACGACAGATTCAAACACACACAGAGACGAGACAAGAGGAGAGAAACAGTCTTCATTTTCTCTTACTGGACCTCTTTGAAATGCAATTGAATACCCCTGCAACAACAATAATAATAATAATAGCAATAATAATTGGGAGGGGGGGCGCGGCTGTTCTTATGTTCTCTGAGGGGAGGCTCACCTTCCCACACTTTGAAAACCCCTGGCCTATGGGATGAAACTGTCCCTGAGTCTGGTGGTTTTAGTCCTGATGCAGCAGACAGAACAGTTTGTGGCTGGGGTGATGGGGGTCTTTGATAATCCTGAGGGCTTTCTCCCTGAGCCGCTGGGAGTAAAGATAGTGTGTGTATTACCCAGCAGCTATATACAATACTGTGTATGTGTAAAGAAGTGCACAAACCAGGTGTTGCAGTCCACAGTGAGAGTTTGCCCGGGCTGATAGGCCTGTCCGTTGTGCAGGCATGGACAGCTGCTCTCTGTGACGCAGCCTCCCAGCCCGTCCGACACCAGGCCGTCAGGGCACATGCAGCCCGATGTGCAGCCGCTACTGATCTGTAGCACACCAGCGGGGGCGGAAAAGGCTGTTAGTCATGTATGTTAGACATCTGCGTTAGCGACAGCGTGTGTATGTTTGTGTTTGTGTATGTGTGTGTGTGTGAGAGTGTTTGTGCACGCTATTCTGTACTTACACAACCCATGTCCAGAGTGCTGCAGCTCTTTTGACACTCAGTCCCAGGGACCCCAGGTTGAACAGTGGAGCAGTCAAAGTAAACCATTGGGCCAGCACATGATGGGGAGACTGGGTAATAAATGAGAAACTCATGATGAAGAGCGTTGTGATCTTGTCATAATATTGCATACTGCATATGATTATTATAACTATATTGCACACTACGAATTAACAGGAATGATTTTCTTTCATCTGAGGATCATCTTTCATGATTTGGAAGATAATTCAAAAGGATGGAAATTACAAGGGGATTAACATTTAATCATTATCATTCACAAATCAAAAGTTAAGCACAATAGCATTCACCAAATAGGATTTGATTCTGTGCATATTTTGAAACATACCTGATAGTTGTGTCCCTCCTGAGCAGCTGAGGGCTCCTTGTCTGCAGACACTGTGACAAAAAGAGTTCAAGTCATCAGCTAGCATCCTGAAACCATTCAATGTTTGTCAATGGAATTCTTTATCGTACTGAAATAATATTGACTTGCTACAATGTCCTCTAGCTGCCCCTCATTTTCCATATCAACTGTTCCATTGGTAGAATAGAAATTCCTATAATTCCAGCGTGGGAATGTCCACATATCCAAAATAGATTGCTAGATTTTAAGTAACTGAAAACTCAAGCCAAGTTTATTTTTTTCATTTTGTTACAAAAAAGCTTAGAATGAGCTTAATTCACTATATTAGTGTTATGATTAAGGATGGGTATCGTTAGGATTTTATCGATACCGATACTGCTTATCGATACCGGCATTTTTCGATACTCTTATCGATACTTTTCAATCATTTGGTTCTCAAAATGATAGACATGATTACAAGATGTGAACATTAAACAACAGTCATTTTATTGTAATTTATTTTTATATATTATTTAATGTAACTTTTTAAATGTCATACCAAGCAGGTCTGAGTGTGTTTGACAGTGTGTCTCTGGAAGGGGGGCGGGTAATTAGGGGCAGTTCATAAATCCATGTAAACATGACCATTATTCAGTTAAAACGAGACGCTGCGTGCGCACCTCCTAAACCGGAAGCTCCGGTCGGCTAACCATTATAATCCGTTTATTGCGTTTATTATTTATAATTGTAATGATGGATTATCAGTAATCATTTTAAAGTTACACAGAGACATTGGATTAACCGTTTGTATGCCCTTGAACACAACTTTTGATCACAAAACAGCAAAGGTAAGACATAATTATCATCATGGCTACGTAAAGTGAAGTTTTCTTGCTCTTTCCTGGCTGCTAGTTCAGTGAGTTTTGGTTGTACAGTGATGAGACTTATACCAATGGAATCTCAGCTTTCATGTGATATGTTGTTTGTGCAGATAAAAGGATAAAATGACGTAGAAAAGATCGCTTTTGCCAGTGATGTGCTAAAGTAGCCGTTAGCCCCGTTAGCCCGTTTTGCTAAGTGTTGATTTTAGACTCTTGGTGTTGGACTTCTGTTCCGTGTAGGTAAAAATGGTTAATATCGTCTGTTAGCTGAGTTTCTTCCCGTTAAGTGGGTATGCATCATTAATAGGTTGTTAAATGTTAAGAAGCCTTGAAACGCTGTTTCTAGCAAGATGTTGCGTCTGCCCCTGCTATGGTCTGCCCCCGGGAGTCTCACATAATAAGAGCGCTGTTAGGAGAGATGACGAGTGGCATTCACAGTGGTCAATCAGAGTGGTAATCAAACCGGATACGTCACACGGGATGAAGGTTCCCAACCAACCAGAATTGTTTAAACTAAGGAAGTAGCGTAATTCATATACCGATAGCAGCACCGTTTGTCCAGCGGCTTAACGGTATACCAATACCTGTTCTCGATACCCATCCCTAGTTATGATAAAACTGTTTTTATTTGCTTAAGGTTTGTTGACACTATGTATTTCCGTCATTATTTATAATATTTGACTTAGAGATTTATATCATCCTCAGGATGAGTCCTAATAACTTTGGAGATCCTTAAACTTGATTAAAATCATCAGGTCAACATTTTAATTTGTCCAATCCCTTATTATGTACTTTATGTACACTACTAGCAAATGTTAGCATGCTATGCTAACATTCGTAACTAGGATAGTGATGGTGTGCATTAATCTATGAATCATTAACATCAGTTGCTAATGCTAATGATAGCATGTTGCCATGCTATCATTAACATCTCAAAATACAAACACAGAGATGCTGGCTTGTTTCCATTACAGTTCCTCTTCCTGAAATAACTCCTTAGTCTTTAAACTATGTTTACTATCCCCCACTTAATTTGACTCTCAAATGTATCCATTGTATAACCCTTAAATCGAATACAATTTTCAAGATTGGCAGCTCACTATAAACGATTATTTTATGTTATTCCTGAATGCCTAACCTCTGACATCATTACACTATGTTTTTACCATGTGTTGCCATCTTTGTTGACAGTCTGCCCAGCAGGAATAATGGTGTCTTTATCATAGCAGGGACAGCGTTCTCTGGACACACACTGGCTCTCCTCGGTCATGTAAGTTCCCTCTGCACAGCCGCAGCCGTCCACCGCGGTGAAGCTGCTCTGGCAGGAGTAGTCGGTCTGGCTGAGGGAGCGGCAGGTGCGCTGGCAGCAGGTCATGTTGTAGTCATACACAGTTTCTCCTGGACATGATTCACTGAATTTTCCTAGTATGAGAGATACGATTTGAGAAGTAGCAAAATAGTGTATGTTTAATTAAATACATTTTTCATCCAGGTTAATTATTTGTTGACGTCGATAGGGTGCACTCACCACAGATGGTGTTCCTCCAGCCTCTAAAATGGATCCCTGCAGCTGCACAGGCATAAACATAAGCGGAGACTGCGGCACACATGCTTTCCTCACTGTTCTCACAGTTACAGCTGTCATATATGCAGTTCTGGGAGGAGACACAGTCAACATTGACATTTAACAGTAGGCTACATTAATTTAGTTGTTTAGTTTTTTGTCATTACAGCTTTTTGTGTGCAGACCTACATCTTTGTACATGCTGGGGCTAATTAAGGAATGGCAGGAAGCAAACAGTCCCTGGGGATCGGCGAGTTTGGAGCACCAGTACTTGGCATAACTCTCTGAGAGACAGAAACATACAGAAATGAAGTATTTACAAAACACCACACGCACTGAAAATGTCATGATTAACTCTGAAAAGTGGCATGGTATGCTTTCACATGGTATGACCATCTACATTACACCTTATGAGGTGTCAAAGACACAAGTCTAGCTCTACCTTTGTTGATGCTTTGGCGACAGGGGTGTCCAAATCCTGCTATAATGTCGGGGCACTTGGCTCTAGTTTTCCATGAGTTGCCAAAGGCTGAAGATGTACCCTCCACCAGCCCACTAATCACCTTGAAGTCATCACTCATTTTGTTGTTGAAGTTCCCACACAAACCTGTGGGGTGAGGTGATACATTATTTCACAGAAACCTTACATGACATTTGAATTATTATTAACAGAAACATATTAGAACCAGTAATTTAATTGAATACTATGCTGAAATCATAATGTCAAATCAAATGTCTATCCAGACACTGAAACAATAATGTAAGCCATACCAGAGGTGGTTCCTTTCAGAGAAGTGTCAGCGGAGATGAAGACCTGCATCACCGGGGACAGCTGGACCATTACTTGAATGCCCACCTTGATGTCCATGACGATGTAGAAGGAGGACGGACTGAAGGCGCTCAGCATCGCTGCGGCAGGCAGAACACACAGGTGTCAGTATTCTGCTATAATTCTCTTCTCATGTTCATATTCTCTTAATTTATCTTCATCTTCCGCATTAATACAAATTCAACACTCTTATAACTTGCAACTAACAACTCTGAAGTTTGTATTTAAATAAATAAATAAACATTTACAGCTGTCTCTTAATCATTGTGTGTTCAGTAACTCACGTGTAAACAGTGGAAGCATAGAGGCAATCTGGTTCACATAGACCTGCCCGCTAGCCGTCATTTTAATAACCTGAGAGTTTGTGGAGGGAGACACAGAGTATGAAACAGGAGTCCAACAATCATCGCATCTTTTGTGTGTGTGTTTAGGGGAGACACTCGTTTGTCCTCCTTGTAAGATTATCTCTATTGGTAGGGTTGATAATAAATAGATACAAAGTAGACAATAATAACAAGAAATAAAAAAACAAGCTATGTGCAAGTATACATTCTCTTAAGAGTTGTAGTCTTACAAATTATCGGCTTCCAGCTATGTCAGATAAATATGTTTTATTTTGCTGCTCAATAGGCAATACGATTTTCTCATGAGTAATCTTCTTCTACTTAGTGGTAGGTTAAACCTCTGAAATACCGAAAAAAAAAAGTCTTCATGGTACAAGCATATATTCATCACAAAGAGCAGAAAGGGTGACTTCCATTCCTTTTGCACTTGTTGTTGCAGCTAATGAAAAGGTGCCGATGACAGACATGATTTCAAAGACAAGTGTGTCTGTGTTTGTTTGTGTGTGTGTGTGTGTGTGTGTGTGTGTGTGTGTGTGTGTGTGTGTGTGTGTGTGTGTGTGTGTGTGTGTGTGTGTGTGTGTGTGTGTGTGTGTGTGTGTGTGTGTGTGTGTGTGTGTGTGTGTGTGTGTGTGTGTGTGTGTGTGTGTGTGTGTGTGTGTGGTGTGTGCATGGCTTACCACAGAACGGCTGGCTAAGCTCACAGTTACAGCTCTGAGGCAGGTCTGACTGTCAGCCATGCCGCACTTGGCCAGATCCACCAGCACTGCAAACGAGGAGCCATTACTCTGCTGAAACACACATGAGGGCAAAACTTGAAATGAATTATGACTGAAAGACTGAAATGGAGGACAGTACAATAAATAGACACACAATACTCAGACGTTGCTGTAAATAGGAATACAAGGAGTGTTGCAGTTGAGGATGTGTGTGTTTGGTACCTTAGCCAGGACGTAGGAACAGTCCCCATGGAAGGTGTAGGCTTTGCCATCAAAGGAGTTGATGTGAGCCCCCCCCTCCAGAGAGCAGGTTCCTGGACAGTTCTCCTCTGTACAACTCCACTGTCCACTCTCACACACACTGTCAGCACACACACACACACACACACACACACACACACACACACACACACACACACACACACACACACACACACACACACACACACACACACACACACACACACACACACACACACACACACACACAGCAGTAGAATCAGTGTTCTAGTTACCTTTGGTAAAAAGAAGCCTATACTGCATGACAATTTAAGGTAACTTATTAAAATTGGGTTACTGCATGACTAATGCTGCGATGCTTTGAAACAAACCTGTTCAATTTAGAGAAGTATTTTGTGTTGGCTTGACTGCATGATCGGCGGTTAGAACATGTTTTTGCAGAAGGAAAGATGTCATGATAAACTATTGTATGTGCCCATTAAGAACATCAAGTCTGGAGCTACATTGGATCAGTTCTGTAATAGTAGGAACTATTGTTTAGGCAGTAGAGCTGCCTACCAATTGTGATGTTGCTACTCTGACATGTTTGGGTGTTACACACATGCAGAGCATACAGGCATGAGATGTAAGATGTTCACGTTTACTGGAGTTTAATAAAATAACTACCCACCGAGGTAGGAACAAGGTATACTGTAGTCTTTCTGTGATACAAAGAGCAGAATCGAACAAGTTCGACCTGTTGCCGGTCTGAAGCATAACTCTAATGACTTCACTAAAGGTCTCACTCCCTGATAAAGGAGCTAACATGGCTTTTTCAATGCTAACAGCACAAGGGTAAATGAAGAGATTTGTTATCACAGACTATATGTAGGTAAATTACAATATGTATGGATATCATATGCCTGCAATCTGTAGTGATAACTAAAGATTTGAATGCTGTGGATTCAATGTCAATGCAATTAACTGCTTTTAATTGATTAAATAGATAAACAAAGAGTGGACATAGTGTTATATTTAGCCATTCATGTGACATATGTGTGGATTATACTAAAAGTAATTCAAGACATTAGCACTTGTGGGTATGCAATAACGGTTTCACTATACTCATCATAAAAGATTAAATGACCTGGTAAAATATAAACAATAATTAAAACGAGATCATTAAATTACTGTGTGAACAACATGTTGAAGTCATACATTTGAGACTTCAGAAAGCAGGTCAAAATTCAGTTCATTTCACTCTTATTCAGTTTTATTCATGTTTTCATCTTACCAGGATCTACAGTTGTCTGAGTAGGACTCTCCTGACTTGTACAACTTGTTTTTCTGCCGACACGGACACTGATCTTGAGCAATACAGCCAGTTTTACTGATGTCGTCAAAGACAGTTCCTGAGGGGAGATAATAATCATTTCTTTCATGTTTTACGTCTGCACCAGGAATGATTGAGATAAGTTGTGAATGAACAAAGCAGGTGTATACTGTAGTGTACAATGTGTAGTCTACCGTTAGGGCAGGCGCAGCCATCCCTGTAGTCCCTGTTACATGTCTGGCTGGCCTGAGGGGTGGAGCAGCTGTCAACACATGGACTGCTATACTCCATGAACTCCATGTTGTGTAGACATTTCTTGGCTGTGGAGACAAAGACTTAAACATTGCTGTACCAGGACAATCAAGCCATTTTGCAATCAACACAGCAACTGATGCAGAACATTCAAGTCAACTGCAAAAAAGCATCTCTCTTACGGCAAAACGTTGCATCCCTCCACTGTTCTGTCTTGCCCCCTGCATGGACACACTGTCTGGAGTACTCTGATATGGTTTTGCAGAGGGTAGAGTTAGTAGTTTCTTTTGAGTTGCACATATCATTCCTGCAGACTTTATTGAAGTATTCCACGTCCAAAAGGTCTCTGCAACTTCTGAAAGGAGGACTGGAGAAGATCTGGTCACAGAGTTGCTGAAAAAAACAAAATCAATCAATGTGTTATAAAATCCAAATATCTGTTTCTATCAAACTATATAAACATATATATATATATATAAACTTAGCTGCACAATCCACTCTGGCAGCCAACTGAGATACAAGTTGATCCCTTGTTGTAGGGAAAGCCTCTGGATGTTTGCACAGACTGGGCTGACAAAATCTTTCGCATTCAAAATGGTTAATGGCTGAATTTATATATATTCTGATCTCATAGAGAATTAGTTTGTAGTCTGATAATTCACTCTTCCAAGCAAATCCAGAAACACAGGTTCACTGGTTCACACACCCTGCTTATCTTACAAAATTACAATAAGTACGTAATAAATGGTGTAAAAGGACATATTTTGCTAATGTTCTGGTTCATATTAGTATTTAGTGTGGGACATGCTTTAATGTTCAAAAAGCTCTTTATTTTTCTCTTACTGCCTGTGCTGCAGCACCTCTTTTCATTTGATTGGTTAACTTGGGTTTGGAACCATGGCCATGCCTCAACCACACCTCTGACCCCTCTGCTTTGCTACTTTTACCTGGTCATCCGCCCTCATTTGTCTCAGATGTCTCCACAGACAGACTGTGTGCCGAAACGTACATTCGCAGTTCAAAACTTCGACAAAGGCTGAAGTTCATATTTTGAAAGAATCCACTCACCACGGCTCCTCAATGGCAAACTAACCCAACCGATTCAGACACTCTTTTTTAAACCAGTCATCCTCCAGGCATGACACATAACAGACACCAGCATAGACCCAGTGGAGACGCTCAGCGGTCAGAACAAAGGCCCACGGGCATCTCCACTCAAGACAATCTCTCCCGATGGGTTCCATCACAGGCCCTCCACCGCCTCTACGGCTACAGCCTGCTCACGCAGGGGGTGTTGGGGTGGTATTTTGTACTTCCCTAATGCCTCCACCCTTTGTCTGTCATATCTCTTAGATAATCTCAGTTTTTTGGCTTGTAATAAATGCTGAGAATAAAATAATCACTGGGGTCAGGCAAACTGTTCGAAAAACCCTTGGGTGCAGATACACCATTCCAGGGGTCCAGCCTGGTCTTCAATGCAGGTGTTTAAAGTGAAAGGTGGGTATCATTCGTGTTGGGAGAAAAACCCCCTTCTGTCTTCCCAAAATTCTTGACTCCGTCTTATTGGCGGGCTGTTCCAGCTCAAATTGTGGTGGTATGGTCCTTTCTTGTGAAACAAATCTAAAGGCAATCTTAAAGGTCCCATGCCATGGCCATTTCTACTGATCATAATTCCATTGTTGAGGTCTACTAAAATAGATTTATACTGTGCAATTTTCCAAACTCACATTGGTTTCTCATACAGCATCTCTGTAAAGTATGTGTATTCACCGGTATTCACTCTCTGTCCTAAACGGCTTGTTGGAGCTCCTGCCCCCCCCCCCTCCCTGTGAGCCCAGTGGCCGTCTGCGAGACAGCGAGACCCAGCTAAACCCAGCCCGAAACCAGCCCGAGCACACACACACACCCGCAGCCTGGCTGGGAGTTTGTGTGTGTGCTCACACACAGACTCACAGCTTCGCCGTCTCAGGGAGGAGAAATCGGCAGAGCTGCAGCTGAGAAAGATTGAGTGTGTGTGAGGAAGTCCGCGGATTGGTCCATTTGGTCATTGAGATTAAAATCTCTTTTCCAAGAGTGACCTGGCCAAGAGTTTTCCTCCCTACAGGGTGTACTTTGAGGGTTTTTGACTCTGCAGACCGTTTACATGCATAAAAACCTTCATAACACACAAGGGGACGGGTTATAACCGGAAAAGCATGACATGGGACCTTTAATATTACATTCTGGGCCTTTTTTCAAGCTTGGCATTGATAGTATAGTATAGGGAATCTGATCCCTCTAACAAATGACTTAATTTAAGGGAACATGTTTGGAGTGAGGAGTTACCTTATCGCCACAGCTCTGGACTGGGGTGGGTGCGGGCTCCTCACAACGCTCTGTTGGCCCATCCACCTTGTAGGTGTCAGCAAAGTCGCTCACGGACAGCCGAGCGCCTACAGACAATCACACAAAAATGGCCACTGACATTATGGACAGCACTTTGATGTAAATAAATACTTGGAACACAGTTTGTACCCATTTTAAAGCAGGGAGGGTTTTTATTCCTTAGTCACATGATAGCATGAAAGCAGCATCAGCTAAAACTTCAAGAGAAATTCGCACAGGCTCCACCTTTGCTAAAGATATCTGTATTCGAATGTGATTTATAAATAAATTAAGTTAATAAATTAAGTAAATGTTAATTTTAAATAAAAATATTGATTCTATCCATCATTGGAAGAAAAGGCCTAATTATATTCAGTGTGATTATGAAACATTTAACGCGACACAGGATTGAGCTAGTGCAGGCCTGTGATCCCACGTTGAGTACAGTGAGAAAAATCTTACCATTTTCCATCAAATCATTGGGCACACCGTCAAAGTTTCCACAGAGTCCACATATCTTGTTCTGGTATTTCTCATCAATTTCAATCTGTGAACATGGACGAAACATAGAGAAGTAATTGGCGAAACACAAGTTATAAATGAATCATTCATTATTCAAAGCAGGCTTTTAAGATGAAGCAAAATACTATTATAACATATTTTGACATACCAAATCACTTTTCCTATGTAATCCATCTAAGATTTTGAGTAGGTCATACTCATGTGCTCTGTCAACTCTTTGGCATTGCTACGGTAGGAGAGTAAAGTTTTGCTTTCCAAGCTGGTGCATGACCTGTTATTGCAAAATTCACTCTTTTATATTCACATTGTGCATATTGATATTGTTTGCTTATCTCTAGGGCATAGCCTGTCACACAAATTCCCTAAGTGACTCACTGCTGAAATCATCCAATATTTGAGTTAAGGCTTGAATGGCATCAGATTTATATAATATGTCGCGAGCCAAATACAACATGCTCACAAGCAAAGCTTACAGGTGACCAAAGGTTATTGGAAAGCATAAACACTTTATTCTGTGTACTTTCAAACATGACATTAATCACATTAACTCATCCCATATACATGTATATTGCACCTAGTTTCCCTAATGCCCAAGCTTTAGAAAGAACAATAGCTAATACTATGCCACTTAGTCACTTCTGAAATTATTTTTGATTTTGGCACTGCATTCTTTCACAGCTATCAAAACCACACACATTGGGAAACTTGAAATAAGGGATGCGGGTTTTGTGAGCAATACTAAGATCTTATTTTCAAATAAATTGCCTTATAATGGTACCTTTAAATGCCATAGCTGAGCAGCTATCATTCATTCAGATTGGGAGTGTATTAAAGTGGTACAGTGCCGGTAACTAGAAGGCTTAATATATTGAGAGGAAAGAAAGTGTATCAATTGAATCGCTAAATAAAAGTGTTTAAATGGATCAGCACCAACTCTATATTTAAATAGTTGTAGGTAACTGTGTCAAGTATGTTTGCCTTTCGTCACACGTCACTATTAATATGAGTGAACTCCTGCTCCCCACTAATCTTGTTTATTCTTCATCAACCTTTTCAGGGGTTGTGATTTCTTGTGACTGTGGTAAGCAGTTTGATGAGGACAACAATGGAGTTATGTAGCAAGGCGGGACAAGCTCTTGTGGCGATAAACAAAATAGCTTGAAAGATAGGTTTATTGTTTTTGTTCGATCGTTTGGGCCTTTTCTTATGAGTTGTTGCTTTTATTAAATAAATAAATAATATGAGCCTTATTCTTTAAGAATAATTGTTTTTCTTTGTTTTCATATGCATTCCAAGCATGTGCACAAACTGGGTTTTGCTAAGGCATATGTGTGAGAAATTAAGAGTCATTTTGCCATTGTGTTTAAAACCCTATGTCAATACAGCTGAACACAGAACTGGACAGAAGTGTGTGCTACATACGTCCAGGGAGTCGTCCAGGTTCCAGGTCACTGTAATTCCCTGCTTAGCTTCCACAATGATATTAAAATCCGTCCGCATGACACTCACGCCGAATGTGACATGTGGCAGAGACACCCTGCAGAGAGTAAGTGTACACATATGAACAAATATGTAACATCTGGAAACTGTCTCACTGCCATTTGCAAGTTGCATAAAGTTTCAGACTAATCAAAGCTGTGTTCAGGAAATGTCTGCATTCAAGGATTACTGATTTATTACTGATAGATTGATAGAATGATTATAATATCTTTCATGTAACCAACTTAGGTGAAAAACAACAAAGTACAAAACCAACCAATAACCCAAGATTGACAAAGTCTGACTTAATTATAGTCTTTAAAATGTGAAGTGGTGCTTTTTCATTTTTCTGCATGCAAAACCTCGCACTAATTATTTATATGAAGCTTTTATCACATAGAGTAATTTTCTACCCATTGCGGATTTGAGTAAAGATGCATCTCCAAGTTGTTCCCATTGTAGTTAAAGGAACTTTATCTCTGAACTTTATCTGCTTGTTAAGTATCTACAACATTGGGAAAGTCATTTAAATACGGTTTGCAGTAAAACAGTCAGAGGTCATTTGTTGTGAAGGAACCTGAAGAATCTTTACTCGATGTTAGATTTATATAAAGCTTTCAAGCAGTTATCACATTCCTGCGATTGCCGTGCGAATGGAGTTTTCAGAAGAAGAAAGGAGAAAGGAGTTAGCTATGTCCGTGACCACTGCAGAACCTCCATCCACAGAGGTAGACCGAGATCCAAAAATAGCTACTCCTGCTTCCATAGCGTTGTACTGAATGTAAATGTCTGATCAAGGAAACATTCCCAACATTATCAACACAGTCTCAGGCTGAAAGAAGAACGAATGAGGTAAAGTGTCTCAGGGAAACATGTGGTGGACTGATCTGGACTGGACTTACGTCTTGCCATCGACTATCACTGAGCTGTTGGACAGCTCCACCACAGAGCCTTCAAGCGTCATGATAATGTTGCTAATGGTGGGGATGTCATCGATGACTGTGCGCCTCATTTGGAGGTTTAACTCTTTGTAGCTGTCTTTACACTCGAAGACCAAGACATGGTTACAGTTAGAGGCCAGCTGGAAGAAATCTCCATCAAAGGTCTTCCAGTGGTAACGACCCCAAGTCGTGCACACTCGGCCGATCTTATTTGTGTTAGCTGAAACGAGATTAACATCAGAACATCTTTTTAACTGATATGAAAGGGTGAGCAAAAATCTAAAGCATGTACACAGTTAACTCAGGCTCCCTGTCAGAAGAGAAGGAATGATGTTTACTGTAGTAAAGAGAGGACATTTTCATTGAAATGTTTCCCACAACAACTGTGTATCAGCTGGTTTAGTTCTTCACTGAATATTGAAGTCTGATGATGCTTACAATGAGCAAACAGGGACATGTCCTCTGATTGGACCCTATTATCCTAGATTAGTATTGGCCATCTGCTCGGTCTGATGGGCAGTTGGACCAGTACTCTAAGACATATTTTAGTGCTATTGGTGGCACTTTAAACTGTGACTGTTTATTAGATTGTAGTGTCTTTTTGGCCTTTTAACTGTAGAATAGTTTTTATGAGATATTTGTTTTGTAGATCTGAAGTTTAGCACACTTTGTCAATACAATATTTTGTCCACACAGGCTTATTCATTTGAATGGTTTTGCTATTTTATACTGTCACTGTCATTTTGGAATGTGCCTTGTTTTCATTTTCTGTAGCCTAATTTTGGGGGTACAATTTATTTTTAGTAAATATATACTAATATAAGTAAACTAATGTATGTAAGCCATATATTACATTTGTATAGTCTCACTCGTGTTTTTGTATCTGGTCTATAAAATGCCTAAAAATACATTTTAAACAGGTATGTAAGAAATGGTGAGATGCAATGTTAATAATCATATGCTGCCATAAGAAGTGCAAAATATATAGTATATTAATGCTTGGCTGAACTAAACCCAACATGCCATAGACTAACAATCAAATGGATAGGTAATAATCACATAAACTCAAACTCATCAAAATTCAAAATCTTTGGAGCTGGCTGTTGAAACATGACATTAGTCTGTGTTTTGTATGATGATGGGTAACCTGTAATCAACTGGTTCATGCAATGAAAGCCAAAGTAAGACAATTATGTGATGTAATGTATTTGTAGTTTCTTTTTATATTTTACAGACAAATAAAAGGAAAATATTAAAATATATTGAGTACGTCATATTTTCTTATTCATCAACCAAACTACATTTCTGTTAACGTCCAGTTTTCCTCTCTATGACCTTTTCCAATCATCTTTTAGTCTATCTATAATATCTATCTGTAATAGTGTGAATCTGTAAGCATTTTCCAGGTCCCCACTCACCTATCTGAGAGACTGAGCCGACCAACAGCGTCAGGAAGATGATCCATGATCCTATGGTCCCCATGTTTGCTCCTGAGGACTGAAGCACTGTGACACTACTCACCTGGAGGGCAAATCCCTTTATAACCATGAGCTCAGAGAGAAAGAGAGTTAGGCAGCTCCACTATTTGTCCCTCCTTCACTCTAAATGTCTTAAGAGAGGTTGGTATTTGTATATGGAATTAATACCTTTGAGTACACACAAGGTTGCTATTTGTTTGCTCAGCAAACATATCATCACCTCTATCACTGCACTTGTTCCGTTTACCGGCCTCCGCTGAACCACAGATCCTTCAGCTGGTATGGTTCGAGATCAGCTGCCTAGCTGTCTTGGTGCTGACCTTACTTATGTGAACCCTGTGGAGCACTTCAGCAAACTTGAATTTATCACACGTTCTTTTATTATTATTATTATTACTGGAAAAACAGTGGTGGAATGTTATAAATACATATGTAAGTAGTTTAATTGGGTTGCACTTGGCAGATGCTTAAAATTAAAAATTAAAACAGTTCAAACAGGTAAGGTATATTGTGCTCAGGTACATGGGCTCATCATTGTAGTTGCTAGTAAACCCCCAACAGAATGATGGTTTAACATGTTAAGCCCTGAGCCTGTTTTTCAGGTTTCAGGCTCGAAAATGACATGCCCAGAACAAATGACTATATCTTCACTTCTAAAAGGGGTAAATTAATTATCTTTTTTCAGTCAGAATCAATATAGATGTTTTTATTTTAAAGTAAATTCAGATTGAACATAGTAAAAAAGAAAAATTATAGTTTCCGTCCAAAAAAAACCCATCACTTATAGTGAAAACCACCCTTGAATGATGGGATAGTAGACAAAAAGCTTTAGGAATCCAAAGTATAACATATAATAAGTACCCTGTATCAAGATTGATGCAAAACAAGTGAAATTTGACCTTTTTAGAGAGGTTTTGGAGAAAAGAAACCCACTTCTGGGGTCGTTTGGGTGTATTTGCCATATCTCTAGAACCCATCGGTCGATTTTGGTGATTGACACCACTTTTGAACCTTTAGAGCCAATCGAATCGAGGGTAAGTTCCTAAATCCATCTAAACAATATATAATACCATTGGTGAAGAGAGTGATGCGCAGCCAGCAAGCCCAAAACCGGAAGCTGGGTTACAGCTCTCACACACTCTATATGAAAACTCAGTCTTTGACAAAAATGTTATGATAGATTATCAGTAATAATTTCAAAGTGACACAGAGACATTGAATTAACCTTCAGCAGCGTTTTTATGCGTTGTAATGCCATTGAACATAACTTTTGATCAGAAAACAGTAAAGGTAAGACGTATTTGCCGTTTTGGCTACGTAAAGTGAAGTTGTGTGTTGTCTTTCCTTGCCTTCGCTGCCGCAAGTTTTGGTCGTGGAGTGATGATACGTATACCATTGGAATCTGTGGAATCTCAGCTTTCATATGATATATTGTTTGTGCAGATTCAATGAAGTATAACATATTTCTACCGTGAGTTATGTGCTAAGTGCGTTAGCACTCCTTCGCTTAGTGCTAATTCAGGCGCTTGGCGTTAGAGTTGTGTTTTGTTTCGATAAAAATGATTCATATCGTCAGGTAGCTGGTTTTCTTCCCGTTAAGTGGGTATGACAGCCATTTGAGTATTTATTCCATATCCTTGATATCACACGGCAGCTGCCTACACTAGTTGGCTCTTTGATTTCACTTGTTAGATATATGGTCAAACTAGTTTGGCACTCTGCTTTACTAGTTAAATAAAACATTACACTAGTTACCACATAAGCCTTACTAGTGACGCCAGGAGCAGCACTAGTAGCACCAAAGTCCCAACTTGTAAGCTATTTTATGAACTAGTGACCCTCTGACCGTACTAGTGACGCTAAAAGTCTTACAAGTTAACTAGTGGGCTGCAAAAGCTCTGACATGTTAACTAGTTACAAAAAAGAAGCAGAACTAGTTAACTAGCGGCATACATTTGTCTGCACTAGTTAACTAGTAGCACCCAGAATCACTCACTAGTTAACTAGAAAAGGCAAAAGGTTCACTAGTTAACTAGTTGACGCCTCTTTTGACCTTACTAGTTAACTAGTGGGGCTCAAAATGTCTACACGTTAACTAGTGAACCCTTTGCCCTTTACTAGTTAACTAGTGAGATACATTTAAATTCAACTAGTGAGGCTTAAAATGTTCACTAGTAGTACTAGTGGATCCCAAATGTGCACTAGTCACACTAGTTGCACAGAATGCTAATGAGGAGGAGGGGAAAGAAGGCATCGAGGTCTCCTATTGGCCCTAAGCTATAGAGCGCCACCCAGCACAAATAGTTTCTTTAAGAGCTACACTGTGTTTTAAAATACAGCCATATGACCATATTTACAAAAATATAAAACAAAAGTATTGTTGTAATTATGATCATATGACTGTATATCAAATTAGGTAAGAACATTGAAGACTTTCTTAAAATTAGAAAGTTGCCTTAGGACTGCAGACAGGAATATAGATCCTCTTTAAAACATTTTATTAAGCTGCAATTTGAAAGGTGCTTGGATTAGAATGGCATTGTGATAACAGAGTGACATTAGTGATGGATAGAAAGAGGAGGTAACCCTCTTCAGATCACAGCTTTGAGAGATCGCCGTGACTTCCGTAAATATTAGTCTAAGGCAAAACATGGAGAGGTTGTTTATCATACGGATCTATCGTCATCCTGATTTTAAGATCTGTCCAGTGTTTCTGCTTTATTCATTTCATGAGCACCGCTTATAAAATGTCCCACGATCATATACATATTGCAGCGTACACGTTAACTAGTGAAGGCAAAATGTTCACTAGTTAGTTAACTAGTGAACATTTTGCCTTCACTAGTTAACGTGTACGCTGACCAAAAGAGTTGAAGCCTCTTTTGGTCTTACAAGCTGACTATTGAGGCTCAAAATGTGCACTAGTTAACTAGTGAGGTCCAAATTGTCCACTAGATACACTAGTACAATTGTTTTTACCTTACTAGCTAATTAGTTACACACAATTTATCTCACTAGTTAACTAGTGAAGCCTTAGAGGAGTCACTAGTAAACTAGTGACACAGATGTTTTTCTTACTAGTTAATTAGTGGAGGGCATTCTTTCTCACTAGTCAGGTTCTGTTATAAACATGTTAGTCTTTGACCGTACATGTTACACATTTTTCTTACATGTAATGCTGCGTTCACACCGGACGCGATGCGACTATTCGCTTCGCTCTAATCGCTCCTATCGCATCGCTCTAAATGCTGGAGGTTCACCGCGGCTGCCAGCTGTGTTTACTCGCATCATTCAAACAAGACGCGCTGGCTCGGGAGCTACAACTACAACAAATGAACATATTTTACCGTGATTAAATTGTAATACACGTTTCTAAATGATGCCGAAGTAACAACATACTGATACCGGTTAGTAACAACCATGAATTAAGGCTTTGACAAGTCTGCAGACAAGACGGCAGGCAAAACACCTTTTAAAATGCTTGTTTTCTGAATGAAGATCGGATCGACCAGGCTAAGCTAACGTTGTATATGCTCATTCCACACTCATAACAACGGCCTACAGACATAAATAAAGCAGCGACTGTATTCACCATGACACAGACAGTCTGTGGTTTGTACTTGTTTAACTTTTGTCTAGTTTCTGAACAGATATGAGGAGCTGTGAGCTCTGTGTGCTAACTGCTAACTGCTAACTGCTAACGGCTGATGTTGTGTGGTTGAACGTCAGTGACGGCGGCTGAGATTCTCACCGCTGATTGGCTTCCACGAGAACGCGTCTCGTGAATTTGACGCTCGAGTTGAAAAAATTGAACTCTCGCGTTTAACACGGCACCGTTCAATCGCCTCAATCGTGTGATTCGCGCCGCGTCCACCGCTTCATGCGCACCGTCGGAGCGAATTCGCGTCTGTCCGCGTCTCTGCATTGACTTACATGTAATCGCGCCGCCCCCAAACAGCACATCGCGTCCGGTGTGAACGCAGCATAAGGCCTTTCCTTCAACTAGTTTGGCTTTGTTTGCACTAGTGAGCAACTGTATGCAACTAGTTAGATATTGATTCAACATGTATGGCTTTTTCCTAAACTAGTGGATATTTTCAGCCCACTAGTTGTGGTTTTCTTCTCTCTAGTTCAACACAATGACTTACTAGTTGACATGTACGTGCAACTAGTTTACTAGTGAATTGTTTCAAAGTCATACATTGCACGTACATGTCAACTAGTAAGTCATTGTGTTGAACTAGAGAGAAGAAAACCACAACAAGTGGGCTGAAAATATCCACTACTTCAGGAAAAAGCCATACATGTTGAATAAATACTCAAATGGCTTGCCATAATGACACATTCATAGTTTGTTAAATGTTAAGAAGCCCTCAGACGCTGTTTCTTGCAAGATGTTGGTCGGTAGGTAGATAGATAGATAGATAGATAGATAGATAGGCCCTGAAAAACTGCAGTCATTAAACCGCTCTTAAAAAAGAATAATCTAGATGCTTCAGTAATAAACAGTTACAGGCCCATATCAAATCTCCCATTTCTAGGTTACATTTTTTACATTACATATCATTTGTTAGACGCTTTAATCCAAAGCGATTTACATACATTCGGTACTGTGGACAATCCCCACAGGAGCAATTTGGGGTGAAGTGTCTTGCCCAGGGACACAACGACATGTTGACTGCAGTGGGACTCGAACTTGCTATCCCCTGATTTGAAGTCCAGCACACCAACCACTGAGCCACAGCCTCCTAGGTAAAATCATTGCAAAAGTTGTTTTTCAACAGTTGAGTATTTTCTTGAATTTAAATAACTGTTTGGATGTGTTCCAGTCAGGCTTTTGTCCAAACCAAAACACTGAGACTGCTCTTGTTAAGGCCTTCAATGACATCCACTTAAACACAGACAGTGGCAGAACTTCAGTGTTAGTATTATTAGATCTCAGTGCTGCGTTTGACACTGTTGACCACAACATATTACTAGACCGACTGGAAAACAGGGTGGGACTTTCGG